TATATTGTATTATATCTTCTAGTATATTGATTGGGTACAATTCGTCTTCGTATTTTAGATACTGTATTTAGTGCTGATTCGAATGGTATATAGAATCCTCTAGTCGCACATATCACCGTCCAGAAAATCAAGTTTGAAAATATTCAATTAAAAAAAATATTAAAAAATTATATATTGTATTATATCTTCTAGTATATTGATTGGGTACAATTCGTCTTCGTATTTTAGATACTGTATTTAGTGCTGATTCGAATGGTATATAGAATCCTCTAGTCGCACATATCACCGTCCAGAAAATCAAGTTTGAAAATATTCAATTAAAAAAAATATTAAAAAATTATATATTGTATTATATCTTCTAGTATATTGATTGGGTACAATTCGTCTTCGTATTTTAGATACTGTATTTAGTGCTGATTCGAATGGTATATAGAATCCTCTAGTCGCACATATCACCGTCCAGAAAATCAAGTTTGAAAATATTCAATTAAAAAAAATATTAAAAAATTATATATTGTATTATATCCTCTAGTATATTGATTGGGTACAATTCGTCTTCGTATTTTAGATACTGTATTTAGTGCTGATTCGAATGGTATATAGAATCCTCTAGTCGCACATATCACCGTCCAGAAAATCAAGTTTGAAAATATTCAATTAAAAAAAATATTAAAAAATTATATATTGTATTATATCCTCTAGTATATTGATTGGGTACAATTCGTCTTCGTATTTTAGATACTGTATTTAGTGCTGATTCGAATGGTATATAGAATCCTCTAGTCGCACATATCACCGTCCAGAAAATCAAGTTTGAAAATATTCAATTAAAAAAAATATTAAAAAATTATATATTGTATTATATCTTCTAGTATATTGATTGGGTACAATTCGTCTTCGTATTTTAGATACTGTATTTAGTGCTGATTCGAATGGTATATAGAATCCTCTAGTCGCACATATCACCGTCCAGAAAATCAAGTTTGAAAATATTCAATTAAAAAAAATATTAAAAAATTATATATTGTATTATATCTTCTAGTATATTGATTGGGTACAATTCGTCTTCGTATTTTAGATACTGTATTTAGTGCTGATTCGAATGGTATATAGAATCCTCTAGTCGCACATATCACCGTCCAGAAAATCAAGTTTGAAAATATTCAATTAAAAAAAATATTAAAAAATTATATATTGTATTATATCTTCTAGTATATTGATTGGGTACAATTCGTCTTCGTATTTTAGATACTGTATTTAGTGCTGATTCGAATGGTATATAGAATCCTCTAGTCGCACATATCACCGTCCAGAAAATCAAGTTTGAAAATATTCAATTAAAAAAAATATTAAAAAATTATATATTGTATTATATCTTCTAGTATATTGATTGGTTACAATTCGTCTTCGTATTTTAGAAACTGTATTTAGTGCTGATTCGAATGGTATATAGAATCCTGTAGTCGCACATATCACCGTCCAGAAAATCAGTCCGGATGTACCAAATCTACCGGATATACCAAATCCGATTTTTTCGGTCATCTCATAATCTAGAAAAAAGCATAATTGTTAAATAATGAGTTTAGTTTCTAAGCTACATTTTTGCCATTTTTTGGGGGCGTTTTTTTATCAAATAAAAATTTAACTCACCGTATAAGGAGTCGAAGATATTTCTTAAAGACCTTTACCCCCGTTTTACGTTGATTTTCGGATTTCGAGATCTCGATGATGGGAGTACATAAGAACTTCATTTCTTTTGTTTTCTTATCTATATTGGTAGATATGTTCAGAAAAATTTTTGTGGATTTTTTGACTGTAAAACAAAAATTTTAATAAAGGGGGGTATAATTTATTAACACTAATTTTTTGGAAAAACGTCCATAAAAAAGTTTGAGATCAGAAATTTTTAAAGATATTTTGTAAATATTATTTAATATACATTAGAACACTACTGTAAAAATTTCAGAACAATCCGACAACGGGAAGATAGAGAAACAAAAAATTCAAGGGGGGTTATAATTTCTTAACACACTGTAGAATAGAAAAAGGTGCTGAGTTGAACGGTACCACTCTTTTTTCACGGAGATGCCCGTGGACCGAGATATAGGGCTCAAAATGGTCAAAAACCATAGGGGGAGTGCGCTTCGCCTACGCCCCATAGGTGTACGTTGGGCTGTAGTGTAGTGTACCGGTGGTAAAAGTTCGGAACGTGACATATGTCATTCGATTCGTCTCGACGAGCTGAGTCGAACGGTACTACTCCCTACTTTAGGAAATGATTCTGGACCGAGTTATGGGTCCCGAAAAATTGAAAAACCAAAGGGGGGAGTAAGCACTTTTTTGGGGTGAAAAATTCGAACGTGCAAATAATAGCTCATTCGAAAGAGCTCGGCGAGCTGAGTCGAATGACACCAAAATCAACGAAATCTGACTTGATTTGACAAAGTTATGACCGTTTGTTTTAGCTCCTTACATATGGCGCCCGTGGAGGTTTTTGCTGCTACTGGAGCCCCAAATACATCCAGAGCAAGGGAGATGGGACTAGGTTTATGTTACTGACCCAGACCCAGCGCCCGTAGACTCCCCGCGAGGCGCGTGCCGCAAAACCCCGCGCGAAGCGCGGGGTTTTGCACAAGCGCCTCGCCGACGCCCCATAGGTTTATGTTGTTTGTTTTTCTATTGTAACTTTGTCCAAACTTTTACAATCAAGCTGATTTTGGTGTCATTCGACTCAGCTCGACGAGCTCTTTCGAATGAGCTATTATATGCTTTTTCGAATTTTTGGCCCTAAAATCCGCCCTATGGTTTTTGACCATTTTGAGCCCTATATCTCGACTCCAACTTGTTCAATCAAGCTGATTTTGGTGTTATTCGACTCAGCTCGACGAGCTCTTTCGAATGAGCTATTATTTGCATATTCGAATTTTTCACCCCAAAAAAGTGCTTGGTCCCCCCTATGGTTTTTCAATATTTCGGGACCTATAACTCGGCCCAGAATCATTTCCTAAAATTAAGAGTGGTACCGTTCGACTCAGCTTGTCGAGACGAATCGAATGACATATGTCACGTCCCGAACTTTTACCACCGGTACACTACACTATATCCGTACGTTGACCATTTTAAGCTTGTTCAACTAGTCTCAAAATCAAGATTTCGAGCTGATTTTGGTGTCATTCGACTCAGCTCGAGGAGCTCTTTTGAATGAGCTATCATTCAATTTTTGACCATTTCGAGCCCTATATCTCGGTCCACAGGCATCTCCGTGAAAAAAAGTGGACTGCTCGACTCAGCACCTTTTTCTACTCTATATATGACATTTTGAAAATAAATTTAGGGGGTTACGTCATAACGGAAAAGTACCCAGTATGTGAATAAAAAAAGTTAAACCACTTAACCACGATTTCAAATAGTTTTAAATGCACACAAGACGGGATATGGGCTCGAACCCCGCCTTGATCAATATATTTAAAAAACTAAAAAAGAAACCAAAAACTTTTTAATGAAAAAGGCCTTTATAAAGAGTAAAAATAATTTTAAAAAAGAATCGAGTAAAAATTAATATTTATATGTGAGCCAGGGGAAAGCACATTGCTGTAAATTTTAGTTTTGCATATGTTTTGCGTTATTTTTTAACGAAATTAACGCAAACACACAAAAATACACCCAACATAGAGTAAAAATTGGAAGAATTCTGGCTCCTTGGTCTTCCTAAAATCATTACCCTTGTTTCCATAACGGGTACTTATGAAGATGGAGGTGCCCTTTCTGCGGACTTTTTTTTGCGGACTTTTCTTCCTTTCCTTTACATATTTTACTTGTAGCAACTAACTGTTAAAGGCCCTCCCCCTATTATTTTTCTTACCTAAGTTTGTACATAAAGGTCAGATTTTCTGCTTCCTTTCCTTCCTCTATTTGCCCTGTGGCATATTCAAACAAGAGACATTGGTGAAGAGAAGATTAATTTCATAGTCATACACTTATTTTTTGCCTCCGAAAACAATTTAAACAAAAAAAGAATTAAATAAAATTGATTTGGTGTATAACATTATGAATTTCTGTGTAAAAACATTACATTCTTACTTATATTTAAAAATATTGAACAACTGAAAAAATAAATCGTACTCAATATTGAACAACTCAATTAATTTTAATCTTCTCTTTATCAACTACATATGTCTCTTGTTTGAATATGCCAAGCTCAAATAGAGGAAGGAGAGGAAGAAGAAAATCTGATCATTTTGTACAATCATAGGTAATTAAAATAATGAGGGGAGGGGGTGGGACAAGGATTGAAATTACCCGAATTTCTGTTCCAAAATCACAAGTTCTCATTCTATGAAGCATTCCGAGATCAGTAAGCCATTGTTGAAATTCAGTTTCGGGCAATTTAATTTAATCATGTAATTTAGTTAAAGTAAAATTTTTTATTGATTGTAACATTTTTAGCGTCTATAACGTTTAAATTAATTGTGAACACATATTTTTCAAATGGCATACAAAATAATCCTTTGATAGTTAATTGCTACTAGCAAAACTTGCTGAAAGCAAAACAACAAAACATTTAAAAAGAAAGGAAGAAAAGTCCGCAAAAAAAGTCCGCAGAAAGGGCACCTCCATCTTCATAAGTACCCCATAACGGATATGGATAACCAATAGCTCTTTTAAAAGAGCATCAAAGACTTTCTCTAAAACCTAGTAGTATGTGAATAAAAAAAGTCAAACCACTTAACCACGATTTCAAATAATCTTTTAATGCAAACAAGGGGGGGGCAAACAAGGGTTGATTATTCCCATTCCTTCCTAAAATAAAAAACAAAATTTTCCTTAAATTCTGGCTCCTTAGTCTTCCTAAAATCATTAAATTTTCGATTTGTTTTATTTAAAAAATTTGTAAATTAAAAATATGTTTATCAAAAAAGTCAAATTAAAGCCATCTTCAATACGATAAATGAAAAAATAAATTAAAAAAAACTTGGCACCAAGTAAAAATAAATAAATTTTTATTTAATTCTCTTAATCACAACTCTAACTCCTGGCACACACTTTGCGTTATATTCATACGCTTTCACATCAATACGCTTATATTTGTCTTCAATGCATACAGAAAATTTAATTTTTGGATTGTGGTCATTGGAGAGTAGAAATTTTGTTGTTTTAATATCTTCTTTAAGTTTGGTTTTGATGTTTGTTGCATTTTTACTTGAAATAAGAGATCCATACATAATATCAAATTTAATATTTTTCGCCATTTTAGAAAGATCTTGTGATGTTTCAATATGCTAAACGTGAATTTATTTAAATAAAATTTTTCTAAAAATCTTGCAGTATATTCAATATAAAAAGCAGGCCCGTAGCCAGGATTTTTTCGGGGGTTTTTTCCCTCCCTACCCCCCCCCCCTGGTTACGGGCCTGTAATAAGGGGTCTAAAAAATTTTTGGATGTCGTTTAGTCGAGTGCCAACTCTAAATAGGTCAAAACATATGACTTTCGATTCGTCTCGGTGACTGAATCGTTGGTACCACTTTCTATAGGTGCCATTTTTATAATAAACTTGTACAAACCTTTATAATAGAATTGTAAATTCTTGAATCAAGAGTGTCATAAGTAATAGCAAAAAATTTATTTCCTTCATTTTTCAAAATTTCAATCAAGGGGTCTATACAATTTTCCACTTTGTATATAAGAGGCGACACAATATCAAGAATAATTGTGTCGCGTTCGACGGAATAAAAACTTTTATAAACACGAACTCTAAGATGATTACAAATCAGATGATTCACAGCAAAATTTAATAAATGATGAGTTTTAAGAAATACTTCTCCCATTTTAGAATGGATTTGTAAAGGTTTAATTGTTGTTGTATCTTCATCAAATAATAAATCAATCATTTGTGGATTAATTGCAATCTTAGAAATTCGAAAAAATTCAAAAGCACAGTTGAAAAATAGCTGTAATAAATAGCGAGCAATTTTCATTTCCACAATGTTTTTTGGAAACTTTGACAATTGTAAAAAGTATAATGCTAAATAAAAAATTTTTAATTAGAGAATAATTTTTTTGAAAGGTTTGACAACTGTCAAGTTTCTCTCGGCAAAACATAAAATTTTATTTTCTGAATAGTTGTTGATTTTTATTAAGTTTGTTCACGGTCGATTAGCCGAGCCGAAACCTAGTGTTTTTGGCCAAAAACCGAAAACCAGGGGGTCAAAACCGACCTAAACAGACCGGTTTCGGGTTAATAGTGAAGGTAATTGGTCCCTAGAAAAAATTAATAAAGTGCTCTTTTGGTATTTTTGAGGTTTATCAGTAGGTATTTGTGATGTAAGAATATTTCATTAAAGGATTTTAACTGGATAAAGTTTGAACTGGATATTCTGTATGGGAAATTTACCAAAAACTGGCTTCGGTTACCGAAAACCAGGAATAAGTCAAAAACCGGAGGTAACAGTTAATAACCGGTAATGGACAACCATCATTTTTATAATCAAAAAAATGACTCATAATTTTATTTATTACGAGCGTTGAGGTGCCGCTTCGCGGCACCTCAACGCTCGTACATTAGTTTGTTAAATTTTTTAAAAATCCAAAATTTAAATTTTTTGGTTTCATTTTTAAGCAGTATTATTATATGTTATATCTTTTTTGAAACAAAATGAGTTTTAAAAAAAACGAAGAAGAAAATTTTTGACTTGAGATTTGGCTTTAAATTGTCGTTGCGACATAAATCAGTTTTCATAGGGAAATGAAACGAAATCACGCAAAATAAAGTTACATGCGCGTATCTAAACATAGGATTTGAGGAAAAGGGAGTGGGAAACTTATATATCTGAATGCATATGCCTTAAATGATTTCACACTTGTTCAAACTAAATTTAATATTTGTGGTATATCAGGGATTTTGATTGTGTTAGAGGAATTTGGAGGGATTAAGTAGTATCGGAGTAGCGTTTGACAAAAACTTCCAAGGATAGCCCGACCTGTTTTAATTTCTTTTTTTTAATTGCAAGACGTTTTGGCACTAATTTTAGCCTATTTTTTCGTTTTTAAGAATTTGAAAAATTGTGATTTTAGGACTAAGGGCTAGAAAATGTGAGCTTACAAAGCAGAAGGAAAACTTATAGCTATTAAAATATTTTTGCAAATTAAAATGTTTTGTCTTGTTTCTCTGTTTTTGAAATCTACGGTTATTGAAATTTATTCCGCCAATATCTCACCTAAGCCGTCTAGATCCGACATACAAACCATAGATCCTACATACAATCCATTTATTGCTTTGGTTGAATTTTACGCCTATATGGCAGATAAATTATAATTATAGAGCACATGAACTCCTTTGGCCGCTTGAGATCACACAATGCCGCTAGTGATCGGACCAAACAAATATTTGACGCCGTAAAATCAAATATTTGCTCAATTTTTTTTGATTTTTTAAATGAACTATTTGTTAGATGAGGTCGAAAATAAGCCAAATAGTAGATCAAATAGTAATTTTATCAAATATTTTCTAAATTATTTCATTCTCCCAGAAAATCATATTTTTGGTTAGAAAATGGTAAAAAGCTATTTAGCACTATATTTTTTTCAAATTTTTCCGCCGGTGCTAAAGGGTTTATTTGATCAGTTTTTTTGTATAGCGTCTTAAAATTCCTGAAATAATTTAGAAAATCTTATCAAATATAACTTTAAGTTTGGTTTTTGGTTTGATTAGAGTTTGTGGATTTTATACTGTTTGGTGTTGGTGTTTAATTTTGGGGGCTCGAGAGAGCTAAATGGGAATTAAGAGGGATATATGGGGATTTGGAGGGATATCGGTGGTTTAAGGTGGATATATGGCGGCATGGATGGATATCGATTGATTCGGGGGGAAATTGGGTGATTTAATGAGAACTCGGGGGATTTGAATGGATTTCAATGGATTTGGAAGGATTTCGGTAGTTTTGAAGGAATATATTTTTTTAAAGATCGGATAAATTTTAAAGATCGGATGAACGACAAAATCTAATATTTGATCAAATAATTTGAAAATTATTTGATATTTGAAAAAATTTGATCTGCAAAGTCAAATATTTGTCAAATATAAAATTTTTAAAAAAATTTTAGAATACCATATAAAACGGTATATTTGAAAGTATATCGCGAATATTAGGATATAGAGATGATATCGGAGGATTAAGAAAGAAGTGGAGCGATTAAGGTTGATATAAGGAAATTGTAGGGCTTAAAGAAGATATAAGAGGATATGGGGGATAAGAGGTGAAGTAATTTAGTGACATAAGATGCATCGGGACAACAGAATCTTAATCCACCTATATTCTCCAAATCCGTCTATATCCATCCCAAATTCTGCTATATCATTCTTAATCCCAAAATTTCTCCAAAACCGTCGATATCCATTTAAATTACCCGTTATTTCTCTTAATCTCTAATATCATTCAAATGCTCTGTTATCCTCTTAATTATGCCAAATCCACTGATAAACATTTTGATCCCCAAATCCATCTATATTCCACTTAATCCTCCCAAATCATCTAAAACTATTTACCTCTAATACGATAAATATTGCGATAAATAATTTGTTCCAATACGTTAAATAATTTGCCCTGGGGCAAAAATCACGGTTATCATATCGCTTTATAAAGAAAATTTGCCACCGTTAAATGCTAAAAACGAAAATCAAATAATTTTTCAAATTATTTGATATTTGATCAAATATTTGATTTTTCAAACCTTCATCAAACAAATATTTGGTCAAATAAATTCAAATAAAATTTGATCAAATATTTGGTTTTATTTGACCAAATATTTGTTGCGTCCGATCTCTAATATATTTTCGCACTATATTGGTTGAATAAACATTAAAGAATAAGAACTCCCAATGTTTTCGCATGCGGCGTACAAAATGAACAAAGCGAGCTTTTTGCTTCCAAAATTCTCAAAATTTTCACCTGCGACGCATTAAAGTACGAAATCTGCTGCTTGATCTCCTAAAATTTTAGAGTGCGACCGCTTAAAGTAAAATATTATGTTGATTAAAGAAGGAACCTTACAAATCTCTTGATATCTCCATTATTTCCTTCAAATCCATAATCTCCATACTTAGCCATCAAAGTTACTTACATCCTTTTAAACCACTCTTAATACCTCTAAATCCACTCTTATCCCCAGGGAAACATTTATTCCCTTCAGATCCACTTGATCACTGCAAAATCACTTATATTCACAGATATACCCATTAGTCACTCCAAATCCCCTTCCTTAGAATTAATCAATATGGTCCTAGGATATAATGCTCTCAGCTTATTCACAAAATGATTTATGTATTATTGTTTATGTATTGCCTCGCAGATTGTCCAAATTAAAAATTAATTAATGATCTAACATCGTTTTATTAAAGCCTTATCTCGGCAGTTAGCTCTTTAATTTTCGTATAAATTAGAATTCTTCTAAATCTCCAAATCAACAATATTCTACGAAAGCCCATGAAAACCCGAGAGCCCTCTTGATACCGCCAAACCCTCAATATACCACTTTCTTTCCAGGTCGCCAGATAAGCATTTTTTCCTTCCCTAAAATTTTCTAATATTCCTCATTATCCCATAAACCTCTGTGTTTGGGTGTACACAACTGTGCTAACTTAAATAAGTGTTCCATTAAAGTTTGATAGTTGCGAAAGTTAATACAAAATGGCTGCGATTAATTTACAACAAATTAAGTGTGTGCGATTATATGGCACGCGGCTGGTAATCCCTGCGATTAAATGGCGGACGGCTGGTTGTTTTTTGTTTACAGTTAAATTTTCAGCGAAAATTAGAGAAAAACAACTTTCTTTGCGAGAAAGTGCTAAGTAAGAGAACACTAACGCGTATGTGTTAGAGAGGTTTATTCTCTTTATTATTCTCTTTTATTTTCAGTCTTTTGTTGTTTTTCTCTGAATTAACATTAAAAAATTTTCGCTTCAAGAAATATTCACTTTTCTAAGATGAAAAACATGTAAACAATTATATCGTTTTAGTATAGTTAACGAGCGTTTAGGTGCCGCTTCGCGGCACCTAAACGCTCGTACATTAGTTTTTAATTAAAAAAACCAGAATTAAATTTCTTGGTTTTATTTTTTAAGAAGTCAGATTTATAAGGAAATGAAACGAAATCACACAAAATAAAGAAACATGCGCATATCAAACATAGGATTTGAGGAAAGGGAGATATCTGGAAAACTTATACATAAATCTGAATGCATATGCCCCTAAATTATTTCGCACTTGTTCAAACCAAATTTAATATTTGTGGGATATCAGGGATTTTGATTGTGTTAGGGGAATTTGGAGGGATTAAATAGTATCAGAGTAGCGTTTGCAAAAACTCCATTTATTTTCTTTTTTTTCGTTGCAAGGCGTTTTGGCACCAATTATAGCCTATTTTTCGTTTTTAAGAATTTGGAAAATTGCTGTTTTAGGACTTCGGGGCCAAAAAATGCGAGCTTAAAAAGCAGAAGTAAAACTTATAGCTATCAAAAAAATTTTTGCAATTTAAATTGTTTTGTCTTGTTTTTCTAAATTTAAATTAAGAGTTGTGTTTCTTTCGATACTGAAACGTTTTTAAAAAATTTTAAGTTTTGTTTCGTCCAAAAAAATTTTTACAGTGCATGTCTGCACTTGGTTTCACTCATTGAAATTTATCCCCTCAAATCCGCCCATATCTCACCTATGCCGTCTAGATCCTACATACAATCCACAGAGCACATAATTTCCTTTTGAATTTTCCAAACACACATTATCCAATTAATACATGTTATCTTGCTAAACTATTAAGACAAATTTGCAATTTGCTTTCGATATTTTTACAAATTTTCGATAAATAAAAAACGATTTGCTTTGTTGATATAGGGTACGAAGGGCAACGTTTTTAGTAAATCATGCACCAAAGATACATAAAATTCTCAATGCCGCTAGAGAGAACATCAAATATTTGATCATTTTTTTTTGATTTTGCACAAATACTTGTTTGATGATGTATTAGATCAAATAATTTGGAAATTATTAGATTTTCCAAAAATACATTTTTTTGGTTAGAAAATGGTGAAAAGCTATTTAACACCATTTTTTTTCAAATTTTGCCGCTGGTGCTAAAAGTTATTTTTGATCAATTATTTGTATAGCGTCTTTAAATTAAGAATCTTTTCACAGTACTAACTACGGGTTTTTTAAGCATTTATCGAATATAACTTTAAGTTTGTATTTTGGTTTGTTTGGATTTTGCGGTGTTTTTTTTATTATTTGGAGATTAAAAGTGATATCTGGGGGTTGTATGGGAATTGCGTGGGTTATATGGGAATTAAGATAGATATATGGGGATTTGTAGGGATAACAGTAGTTAAAAGGTGATATATGGTGGTATGGATTCGGAGGAAAATCGGGGGTTTAAATGGGGTTCGGCGGATTTGAATGGATTCCGATGATTTCGCACGGATTTCGGTAGTTTTGCATGAACATTATTTTTGGACGATAACTGTCGATTAAAGATTAAAGAATAAGAATTCACATTGTTTTCGCTTGCGGTCCTCAAAATGAACAAATCTGGCTTTTTGCTTCCAAAATGCTCAATTTCCACCTGCGACGCATTAAAGTACAAAATCTGCTGCCTGATCTCCTAAAATTTTAAAGTGCAACTGCTTAAAGTGCGGCTGTTTGAAGTAATATATTAAGTTGATTAAAGAAGGAACCTTACAAATCTCTTGTTATCTACCATTATTTGCTTCAAATCCATAATCTCCATACTTAACCCTCAAAATTACTTTCATCCTTTTAAACATCCTTGCATCCTTTTTACCCTTAATACCTCTAAAGCCACTCTTATCTTCAGGGAAACATTTATTCCCTTCAAATCCACTTGATCTCTGCAAAATCACTTATATTCCCAGATATACCCATTAGTCACTCCAAATCCCCATTAATTCCTGAGAATTAATATATCTCGTGAGCGTTATATTTTTAGATATAACGCTTTCAGCTTATTCACAAAATTTTACTCTCTGATTTATGTATCGCCTCGCAGATTTTCCAAATTCAAAATAACTTAATGATCCAACATAACGTATTTACTCTAATAATTACCCTGGGTAATTATTGTTTCGATCTCTCGTTGGAGGGGGTAATTAATAGGGAGGGGAATTATTTGTGAAAGGGCAATTATTATTCCGACCTTTATACAGGGTGCGGCAAATTAAGCGCGCGTTTTGTTTTGGCCATATCTTTCTTTAAAATTAACAAAAATTGATAATTCTTTTTTTATTTAATTCACAACTCTCTGAGAAAATTTTTGGTTCCAAAAATGAGAAATTTGGTTCTCGGGTAGTAAAGATAATCCCGTTAGAACATCTAAAAGCGTCAAAGATATTTTTTATGCCAAATTTTAAATACCCATAACTTCGTTCAAAATAAAGATTTTGGTACCAAACTATTCCTCTCGCTTAGGAGCATCGAAAAAGCTAATAAACTCATTTTTGAAAATTTTACCTAAAAAATTTATATTTGCAAAATTTATTTTATTTTATCAATCAGAGAGTCATATCTCGGTCCATTTACGTGATAACCATCTGATTTTGATGTCATTCGAATCGGATTGAGCTGCGGATTCGAATGATATACAAAGTTCCCATATCAAGCTTATAGCCTTGAATCTAGTTCCACTTTTTCCCAAAAATTTTTACTCGAAATTTGAAAAAAGATTAATCAAAGTGAATCGTAAAATATAAAGGAGATTTTGGTATCGAAAATTTTCTCAGAGAGTTGTGAATAAAATAAAAAAAGAATTATCAATTTTTGTTGATTTTAAAGGAAGATATGGCCAAAACAAAACGCGCGCTTAATTTGCCGCACCCTGTATTTTTATTTTATCATAGGTAGTATATGAACAGGAATATACAATCGTTACCAAATACGGAGATAAAAAGTTGCGTTTTAACTTTATTATTCTTTAATATTTCCCACAAAACGGTATTATAACATTAATACTTCCGTCCTGGGATATATAAAAGCATCATGGGCATGTTTTTAAATACGTATATTTCCTGATTAGAGGTTGAAATATCTATTTTTTTAATATATGCTATATAATGTACTCAAAATAGTACTATGCCAACAATAATTCCGTTTTGGGATTTATAAAGGCATAAAGTCAAGCGAGGATTTAAGGTATTTAGAAGGATTTAGTGAGATATAAAGAATAAGGCTTATATCCTTAAAAATCTTAATCTCCCATTATCTCACAAGATCTCTTGATCCCCTCGATTTCCCTCTTAATCCACAAAATCCTCGATTTTCCCCTAAATCTTTTAATGTCTCGATTTATTCCATGATATTGATTGGTAAAATGTTTTATTATTAAATTCGATGATTTTCAATAAATATTTTTAAAATCAGTAGGAAAAATAGGGGGTAATTATTTGAGTAAATACGGTAGTTTTATTACAGCCTTATCTCAGAAGTTAGATCTATAATTTTCGCATAAATTAGAAATCTCTAAGCCTCCAAATCAACAATTTTCCTCGAAATCACTTGCAAATCCCGAAAGCCCTCTTGATACCACAAAACCCTCAATATCCCGCTTACTCCCCAAGTCGCCAGATAAGCCCCTTTTTCCTCCCCTAAAGTCCTCTAATATTCCTCATTACCCCATAAACCTCTGTGTTTGGGTGTACTCAACTGTGTTAACCAAATAGTGTTCCATTAAAGTTTGATAGTTGCTAAAGTTTGATACAAAATGGCTGCGATTAATTTTCAACAAATTAAATGTGTGCGATTATATGGCACGCGGCTGGTAATCCCTGCGATTAAATGGCGGACGGCTGGTTGTTTTTTGTTTATGGTTAAATTTTCAGCGAAAATTAGAGAAAAACAACTTTCTTTGCGAAAAAGTGCTAAGTAAGAGAACACTTACGCTATGTGTTAGAGAGGTTTATTCTCTTTATTATTCTCTTTTATTTTCAGTCTTTTGTTTGTTTTTCTCTGGTTTAACATTAAAAAATTTTCGCTTCAAAAAATATTCACTTTTCTAAGATGAAAAACATGTAAACAATTATATCGTTTTAGTATAGTTAAACTTTTCTAAGATGAAAAACATGTAAACAATTATATCGTTTTAGTATAGTTAATATATTTTATTCCATAACCTCAAATAATAAGTAACCTTTATCCACTTTGTAATCATGTTGCAATCCGCAGAAAATAGTATCGATGGATGGGTAATCATAGTCATCAAACACACTTAAAAACATAGGAATTGAGTTTTGTATTCCGGCCTTCCACTAAAATCAATGTTTAAAATGAAAACGTTAATTTAAGAAAACCTTTTCTTCAAGTTGTTCACTCAAATTGAAATCATAAAGTTGAGGGTCTAGTTTAATGAATTCATGATTACGTTCACAAAATCCATAATACCCATGTTCATCCAATTTCAAGCGATAAAGTTTAGGATATGGCTCATAATCTTTATACCTATCTAGATAATAATGTAATTGAGAAGGAATAATCTGAAAAATGATTATTAGCAGAAAATAGCATGAAAATAGTAATAGTAAAAAATATCCAAAATGCGGTTTCCAAGTCCGGAAACCGCATTTTGGAGCACTAGCAGTTTCTAAGCTCTGATTTTTCTAAATTAATACGGTCCGAAAAATCCTGAGAGTGGGAAAGAAACACGGTATTTGGGACAGAGCAAGTGCAGAACCTCTGAAAAAATCCGACCGGATTAGGCCCGGCGCCGTGCATTATTAGGGAATCAATTTATAAAAAACTAACCATTTCAAGTTTGTCGTATTTCTTCCTTGCCAATTGCTTTTCAAAGGTGTCAATAAAATTTTTGAAATAAAAACTTGTTTGTTGAAAAGATAATAATTGAATGAAGGTCAAACATTTAAGCACATCAAGTTGAATTTCTGGTTGAAGGTTTAATTTGGATTTTTTGGTTTTAATGTCAGCAGGCACATTGTCTTCTCCAATTGGAAACATTTGGTACCATTGACCTCCCTAAAAATATAAATTTTTTTGATTTTACACAAAGTTAATAAGAAACCTTTTTATAATATTTAACTCCTTCGTGTTCAATGATTTTTCGATCCAGGTTGCTCATTATTATAAAAAATCTAATTTAAAATAGAAAATTTGTTCTGTAAATTGAAGATTAAAATAGAAAAATTAAAATAGAAAAATCTTGGATATCCGGAACCGAACAGAAAAATCCTCGGTTCAGTTCGGTCCGCAGTTCGTTCCGTTCGACTGTAGGCCCGACTCAAAAACGGCAACCCTAATAATATTTCACAAAGATTCCTAACATAAGCATATTCACAATTTTAAACTTCTCATTTTTTATAAATCTTTTCATACAAATTGATTTTTCTCTGTTTTTTCGGCGTTCCTTTTTTTCGTTTTGTGGGAGAAAAGTTACTCGTGTATCCCAACCTAATTTATTCTAAGGGCCCTGATTATGTAGAAGTGGAGAGAAAATGGTAAAAACCGATTACCATTTTGTCGCATACCATTTTGTCTAATAACATTTTTGTGATTTTCCAAAATGAAATATTGATTGGTAAAGGAAATAGTGTGTACAGAGGTAGATACAAAAAATTATTTTTTATTGACGCATTGTTTTTATTTTCTTTCCAAATTTTAATATGTTTTTAAAGTTTCTAGGAAACCGTAAAGATTTTTGCTGATTTCCCCTTCTTTTTTTATATCCATTCTCCCTAAACAATTTCTGTTAGGTTGGAATTCTATGAGATTCCAGAGGGATAAACGATGAAAAAATTTACTTGGGAAATTGACAGATTCTTAATCTTTACGGTTGCCTAAATTTATCTTTTAAGAGCAATTTAAATTAAAATATATTTGAGAATGGTAATTAATCGTCTTGAAAAATTATTCGTCACAAATGACACAGCTTCAATTCTCAACAAATTAGAGGACCAATATCCTGCTGCCCGTATTATTCATCTGGCTGCTTATGTGCAAGAAAAACAAATGGGCTTTTATTCAAACACAGTCGTGATTTTTGCTGCTTCTTTGTTGGAACAGGCTTCGCAGTTGCTTTCTATGGTTTGTTTTTGAGTTAAAAATATTTTGACCAAGGGATCCAGCATGGGATTTTACGGGGTCTTCAGATTTATATAAGCGAGGATAGTCTCGCGGTATTCCAATCAATAGAACGCCCATATGTGGTGCCCGAGACTTGTGTTAGAATTGTGTGTTTTTGTTTCGTTCCTAATCATTCTAAAAAATTTTATATTTAAAATTAGGGACTTAAACCGAGTGAAATTGCTTCTGGCTATGAAAAAGCATTGGCTAAAGCTGAAGAAATTCTCACTGATTCAAAAAATGTCCACAATCCAAAATTGGTTATTGGGAAAGCCGAGGATTTGTACAACGTGGATCTGGTTAAAACTTACCTACTCCCGTCAATTACTTCGAAACTGGCTGGAAACCATGATTTTGTTGCTGGATTGGCTGCTGATGCTTGTGGTAAGATATTTTCTTAAATTTTTTAAGAATTTAATTTTTTAGTTGAAATTGTTCCAAAGCCTGTGCACAATTTCAACGTGGTCAACATTGGAATCTGCAAAATTCTTGGTGGTGATGTTTCTTCTAGTTTTATTGAAGATGGATTGATCTTCAAAGGAGGAGCTGAGGGAAAGGTTAAGCAGGCTACAAATGCTAAAGTCGCAATTTTTGCCTGTCTTTTTGATTTAACACAAACTGAAACTGAGGTTTGGGAATTTTTAACAATATTTGCCGAAAATTTGGTAGAAGAGGGAAATAGGAAGGAAAATGGGGGGAATCCTTAAAAGTCCTCTACAACCGAGATTCTTAAGTGTATGACCTTTTTTCAATTCCAGGGCACTATATTGATGAATACAGAAGAGACTAGTGTTGAACAAAAAGTGAAGGACATGGCGGAGGCTGGAATTTCTGTAGTTGTTGCTGCTGGAAAATTTGGGGACCTTTACATACACTTTTTGAATAAATACAAAATTATGGGTGTCAGGTTTATTTGAAATTTTGTTTAATTCAAAATTTTTTTTAATAGATTAACTTCAAAAGCCGATTTAGACCGCCTTTGTAAAGCTTTTGGTGCAAAAGTTCGAGCTGTTATTTGTGCTCCACCAGAAGGTTCTTTGGGGAAATGTGACAATGTTTCCGTAAAGGAAATTGGAGATACTCAGGTTTTTGTTTAAAATTGAGTTTTGGTTATTCAATTTTGTATTTAGACTGTCATTTTTGATAAACAATCATCTTCCAAAGCGGCAACCGTCATTGTTAAAGGCTCTTCTCAATCTATTTTGGATGATGCTGAACTTGCAATTGATGATGGAGTGAATGCTTTTAAGGCTTTAACTAAAGACAAACGGGTTTGAAAAAACTTTTTTATTTATTATATATTAGCAGTTCATTGAACTTTTAATAAAGTTGGACTTCACTGTAAGATAACCCCCGGAACTAAAACCTTATTTTACAATAAGGTGTTCTTAAATAGCAGAGATAGCTAATGTAAGATTTCTGCCTCGTTTCCTATGGCTAGCCAAATTTTAAAATGTATCTTAAACTGAGTTGAATTTAATTCTTTGGTTATCATATTAAGTGAGGTTTGACTGATCTTAAAAAATCTTACCTTTTATTACTTAAAATAAAAAAAATTCTTTTTTGTTTAAGTTATTGGCCGGTGCTGGTGCAACAGAAATTGAATTGTCCCGTCGAATTCAACTTTTTGGAGCAACTCAATCTGAACCTAAACAACACTCAATTAGTAAATTTGCTACAGCATTGGATGTCCTGCCTAAACAATTGGCTAAAAGTTGTGGAATGAAAACTACAGAGGCTTTGGCTAATTTGTATGCTGCTCATCAAAATGGATCAACTTATGAAGGAATTGATGTTTCAAATTCAAAATTGGTTGATGCGAAAGAAGCTGGAATTTATGATCTATTTAATGGAAAATTGTTGGCACTAAAATTGGCGACAAATGCTGCTTGTAATATTTTGAAGATTGATCAGGTTTTTTAAATTTTCCTTTAATTATTTCTGCCGGACCTCACCACATGTTACAACCTTGTGGTTGAAAATCTTATCATATGAGTAGAGTTTTTGCTAAGTTAGCCCTCATATCCAGTCAAATTTGTAGAACATCTTAACTGATGAGTATTTAATTCTGGGATGTAAAGGGACGCTTCTGGGGATTTACTTTTGGATTATGCATCTCCAATCACAAAATGTCTTTTAATCAATAAAAAAACTTTTTTTTAAGTTATTACCTGGTGGTGGAGCAACAAAAATTGATTTATCTGGGGAAACTCAACGTTTTGCTGAATCCCAATTCAGACTTAAACAATACTCAATTAAAATATTTGAAAATAAATTGAGTAAATTTCTTCAAAAAATTCAAAAAAATTCAAAAAATCTTCAAACAACACAAAATAATGATCTTTATCCACTTTTTGAACTTACCAGCAGTGGAAAAAGAAAAGCAACTTTTAATGGGTTCCAATATCACCATTCATATGATGGTGATTCTCACGTTGTTTACCGGTGTATTCATCAAACAACAAATATTAACTGTAAAGGTGTACTTCATTTGAAAAATTGTGAAGTTATCAACCAACCTCAGCACACATGTGGTAAAGATTGCTTTATTTTTTTTCTAAATTTTCTGATTTTAATTTTTGTTAACATTGTCGAGTTTTTCAAAAGTTGATTTTTGTGGCACTAAAAATTAGAAATTTTAGCTTTTTAGTCGTCTAAAATTTAGACATCGGAAAATCTCCCCCCCCCCCCTTTCCTCTGAAAATATAAAACTATTGGGGGAGTATAGGCTCAATCAACAGCCAAAGTTTTCAAAATAATTTTTGTTAATTTTTGTCGTAGAAATTTTTCGAATTTTTTTTCGGAAATTAAGATTACATTAGTTATTTTTTTTATAGAACCAGTTGTTCCAGCAGAATCTTCTCTCTTCTTTTCTAAACAAAATTCAACACACAACACACCTCTTCCATCACAACAACAAAATTTGTCTCCAAATATTTCTGAAGAAGATGAGATTGTGCCAGAACCTCACAATTCACCAATTCTCAAAGATATCCAAGAACAACAACAATTTGCTTCAACTTCTTCAAAATCTACTGCTAAAGGTTTTTCGTCGAAATTTTATTTGTTAAAGAATTTTGTGAAAATTTTTTCAAATTTTTTTCTACAAAAATTTTTCATGGAAATTTTTTGATAAAGATTTTTTGATAAAGAATTTTTTGAAAATTCTGAAAAAAAATTTTTTTAATTGTTTTTGGAAAAATACTTTTTTTAAGGAGCTTCTTCTATTCAACAAACTACATCAAGAATGCAAACACGATCAATGGCCAAAGGTTTTTTTTAAAATATTTCAAAAAAAAAATTTAAAAAAAATTTTTAAGAATCTTCAAAAATCTATTCATCCTCCTCCAATTTGCCTCCAAAAAGAATTTTTTCTTCGATCTTGGGTGAAAAGGAAAATGTTGCGGAATAGCCCTTAAATATATTTTTTGCTTTTAAATATATGTATGAAAGAAATTTATTTTTTATATTTTATTTTTCAAAAAAATCGGCTTTAACCTGTAAGCAGAGCTGTTCCAGATTCTGAAATTGAAATGAAAGTTTACGAAAAATTTGGTTAAAATTGAAATAAATTGTAAAAGGAACAGCTCTGCTTACACTTTGTAAATTTAAATGTGACTTTAAATTTTGATTTTAAATTAAAAAAATTTATTTTTTAAACGAATAAATTTTAAAAAATTATTTTTTCGTTTTAAATTTTGTATTTTATAAAAATATTTAAAATATATTTTTAATATTTTTTTAAATTAATTTTACACATTTTCTTATGCTTTTCCTGATGTAGTTGAGAGGGGTGTTTCTCTCTCTCTCAGGGGTGTTTCTCTTTTTTTCTCTCTCAGAGGGGTGTTTCTCCGCGAATACATTACGGATTTGGATAGGTTATTCCCCCAAAAAATTCCCCCAAAACATATTTTAAATGTCTATTTGCCTTTTATCATTTTACAACATTTCCCCAAAACATTATTTGAATTTATTTTCCTTTATAGCTTATTATCAACCTTTTCCCTAACCTACATTTGTCTATATTTCAAACCTTTCATTACTTCCCGCCCTTTGTCACATATATAAATAGCTTTTCATATTTCTAGTTTTTTCCTGTTCAATGGCCTCCAGTTTTTTTCGCCTGCCGCCCATGGGGGGTCGGTTTAGTATACTTCAAAACATCTAAGACTCTAGCATATTTTTTGGCGTTTTGTTTAACGTGTCAGTTGAGTCTCAAATTCTAAGAAATACTATTTTTCAGTAAGGATTTTGTTGAATTTACTTTTTGTTTTTTAGCTTTTCTTAACTTTTGTTTTTGTTGGGCTATAGTTGGGACCTTCAACAGCTTATTGTTAGATATGTCAATGGGTCTTCCATAAAAAATTTTTGAGATAAATTGTCACCAATTTTTTTTGTTAATTTTTGCTTTAAAATCTTTAAATCTATTACATTTTTTCAGTTCTTTATTTTCAATCTCCAAATAAATTTTATTTTCAATCTCCAACTAAACTTAAAAAATGACAACTGAACAATTGATCAATCTTGCCTCTGCCAGTGAACAAGGAGAGAAGCCACAAGAATTCTTTGCGGTGACGCCACTTAAGACGTGTCCACATTTGGAACAAATTGCGGTTTTTTTATTTTGTTGGGGATTTTCAAGGACATTCAATTACTTTGAATAAGTCACCCTCTTTAAGATACCCAATGGCGACTGAAAATTCGTTTTGGTACGTTCCTTGAATTGTTTGTATCGATTAAACAGCTCCCTTCCACGACTGGCATTATTTAAATGTGTCTTAAACTGAGTGAAGTATTTGATTCGGGGGTAGCTTATAGCAGGCCCGACTGTAAGAACAACCTGGGATTCTTCAAAATAATGATTTTTACTATTAATTTAAATTTTCTAGGATAGCAAATTGCCTTCTGATGGACTCAACACTAAAGCTGCTTGCAACACATGTTCAAATACTGGCGAGAATTGGGTGTGTCTTAAATGTTTTGAGGTTAATTATTAAAATTTTTATTTTGTTTTGAAGTTAGCTTGGGCACTTAAGGGAGGGTATCTCACTTTGAGACTAATTTTCTGCAAAAATATTTTTTTCAAAAGGTCTATTGCTCTCGTTATGTTGAGGGACACGCTTTGACTCACACCGAAGAAACAAAACATCCTCTGGCCTTAAGCTTTGCTGACTTTTCTGTTTGGTGTTATCCGTGCAATTCTTATATTGACAATAAAGTGTTTGATGAGGCTAAAGAAGCTGCTATTCAATCCAAATTTGGAGGAAAGACTGAAGGTTAGAGAAGATTTAGCGCAAAGTTAACCCGACCCTCTGCCTTTCGAAAAATTTCTGGGTACTACTCCGTTATCCCTACGTGTTTTTGCAGACATTTTCTTCTGAAAATATACGCATAATGATCAGTTCCACCGATAAATTTATTATTAATGTCCATCATTTGAGCGTGTCACAGTGGATTGGATTGAAATTGAGGAATAAAAAAATGTCCGCAAAAAAAGTCCGCAAAAACACGTAAGGACAACGGAGTAGTACCATTTTCTGATATGTTTTTATATATTCCGCCAAGCTTTTCCAGAGATCTTAAGTCCCATCGTTATTTCTAGAACATCTAATTTTTAATTAATTTAAGTAGACAAAATGGACATTGAACCTGGAAAGAAAATTTATTCAATATCCTTCAATCAGGATTGCACTTATTTAGCGGTGGGACACGAGGATGGCTTTTGTTTCTACTCTCTTAGCTCAATTGATAAACTTGAAATTGAAAAAGATGAAAAAGGTTTATTTTTATCTATATTTTTATTAAAAATATTTTTCTAGCTCCTGGTTGTTTTATTGTTGAGAGGCTGTTTAATAAATCTTTGATAACTTATGCTTCAATGAAAGATACAAAAAAATTAAAGGTTTATTGTAGTTTATTGATTATTGTCTTCGATCTAATTTGGTAGTTGTGGGTTATCCCAAACAAGTTTTTATGGACATATTTTGCGGACTCGCTTAAGGAATGGGCATATTCTGTACATATCATTGCGTACAAATTTGTCCGCAATAACTAATTTTGGATAACTCATAAGTACCTTAGATTTATTTAGAATCCCCGAGGTTAGGAATCCTCCCGTTAGCTTGTCAGTGAATTGAGGAATTGTGGGCAAAGAAGAGGGGGGTCGACCCCCGGGATTGCCATTAAATGGAGACCCCCGGGATTGCCACTAAATCGGATTTTATTTTTTGGTTAAATTTCAACATATTCTAGATTTTGAAAGTAAGGTGGTCTTACACATACCCCAGCCATATACTTGCTGTCCGAATAAATAATAAGGTTTATAGTTATTTTACCATTAATTGTTTAATATTCTAAATTTAAGATGGTTGTGGTCTGTTTAGAGGACCATGTTGTGGTCTGTATTCACATTCACAATAAGGTCAACGTGAAGGTTTATTTATTTTTAAATTTCTGGAAAATTTTTTTAAATATAGGAGTTACAACTCCCTCAATCCCTCGATATTCCATCAAATCCCCAAGGAATTGTGGATCTTTCAATTGATGACAACAATTGCTTCCTTGCCTTTCCTGCTTCTTCAAACACTGGACATGTGTAAGGATTTTTAATTTATAAGGAACCATCTTTTACTGGAAGTGCGAATTTGATATATTTTTGATATTATTCGATAGAGGACCCCCGACTTACTATTGTAAAGTGGTATCGATTTTCTTGCAAAATCACTTTGGGCCGAGTTACGGCCGTTCAAAGTTTTGGTGTATCAGACACGATAAACAAAAGAAGAGAGGCTGGAGGTTTTTTGAGTATGAAAAAGAAGGAGAAGTTACTCATTTACCCTTTAATTCCAGACTCTAACATTAAACTTTGATGGCCATAACTCGGCCCAAAGTGATTTTGCAAGAAAACGGATATCACTTCACAATAGTAAGTCGAGGGTTCGTTATCGAATGGTCTAAAAAATGTATCAAATTATCAGTGCAGTAAAAGATTTTTTGTTAGAATCAATAATTTTTCACCTATAACCTTAAATTTATCGTTTATTTTTTAGACATATCTTTGATGCCATCAATTTAAATACTGTTTGTCAAATACGTGCTCATGATAGTGTTTTGGCTGCTGTTAAATTTAACCCGGAAGGAGACAAACTTGCTACTGGATCGGAGAAGGTTTTGAATTTTGATTATTATTTTTTTGATACTTTAATGGCCCTAAAAATCTTATGTTTACGTTGATCAAAAAAGGGCAATACATCTTTTTAGGTGCCCCCTCCCCTTCACTTTTTTAATAAGTGGGATATTTTGGGTTTCCCTGAATTCCTTTTACTATCAAAATTTATTGCTAGATTCTTTAAAATATTCTCAATTTAAGGGAACTGTGATTCGTGTTTTCTCAATTCCTGGTGGAGAACGTCTATTTGAATTTGTCTGTGGAGTCAGTCGCTGTGTTCAAATAAGCTCTCTTGCCTTCTCCCAAGATTCTCGATTTTTGTGTCAATCATCAAACACTGAAACTGTTCATGTGTTTTCCTTGGCTAGACGTGATCACCAATTGGAGAGGGGAAAATTTTTTGCGATAGCTAAATTGCCTATATATGGACATAAAACAGCTGTGGCTATGCCTAAAATTCAGGTTTTTTTAAAATTTTACATAATTTTATCAAAAAATAAATTTTAGGGAATTGATTACTTAATTGTTGCGAGTATGGAAGGCTATCTTTTCTGGTACTCATTGCCTACTTCTAGCGATGTCAGTGAATGCAATCTTCTACGCCAGTACAAAATTGGGCCACAAGAACAACAACAAAATTTGTCTTTAAATATTTGTGAAGAAGATTCGCTTCCTGCTCCAATTAAAGTGAAGATACGTGATTGTTCTACAATGTGTGGACAAAGAGTTCAAATTTTTGGTTTTGTACATCGCTGTCGACAACAAAGTTTGTTTTTTAGGATTTTGGGTTCCCTTTAATTTTGGTTATGTTGGAGGGTCCGGGTCATATTTTAATTTTGCAACTCGAAGCTAGTGAATTTAAAACACCGTGATTTGGTTGAGATTCTTGACCTTGAGTCAAGGAAAAATCGAGGAACCCTGAAAGATGCCTTGATCTTGACTCAGAATCTGGGAAAAATCAGGGCCTGGATCCGAGCTGATCTCTATGTTTTTTCCTTTAATGTTTTGGGGTCAATTTAAAACTAAAAACCTCTTTTAAAATTTTTCTTTTTTTTATAGGAAAGGACTTGATATTTGTACTTCGAGATGGGACTGGCTTTTTGCAATGTGTTCTGAGTGGATTACTTTGTCAAACTTCTGAAGCTTTAACATTGACTACGGAAAGCTCTGTTTGTATATACGGAACGGTTTGCTTCTTTCTCTTTAATTTATTTTATTAAAAAATTAGATAAACAAACTCCCTAAAAAAAAGACGGCCCCAGGTGGTGTAGAACTCGTCGCCGATTTTTGGACTTTAATTCATGGAGCACCGCCCGGTGGGATCGACAATGTGTTAAATGCTGAGGCAAATTCTGATGTTAATCTGGACAATCGTCATTTGTGCATTAGAGGAGAAAATTGTTCCGAAATTCTTCGAATCCGAGCGGCCGTAACGCGTGCAATTAGAGAACATTTTCATTCTCGCAAATATGTTGAAGTATGCCCTCCAACACTTGTTCAAACGCAGGTTTATTTAGAATCAACTTTTTAGAGTTTAACTGCTAAATTTTAGGTTGAAGGAAGCTCTACATTTTTTTCCATTGACTTTTTTGGTGAACAGGCTTATTTAACTCAATCGTCGCAGCTTTATTTGGAAACATGCATTTCTTCTCTGGGAGATTGTTATTGTATAGCGCAGTCTTATAGAGCGGAGAAATCTCGAACGAGTCGACATTTGGCTGAAAACTCTCATGTTGAGGCGGAATGTCCATTTATTACTTTTGAAGGTTTTTTTGGATTTTTAGAAAATTTCTTTGATTTTTTATTTTTTAGAATTAATGAATAAAATTGAGGATCTTGTTTCTGATGTAGTTGAGAGGGTTTTGAGTGATCCTGAAGTTTCTAAATTAATATTACAACGATGGAAAACGTCAAAGGTTTTTTTAAGAGTTATTTAAGCACTATAGCCGGCACGGGACAGGACCCCGTACAGGATTTTACGGATCTCGTCCCGGAATCCCAGGTTTTTATCGAAACACGAGATTACTGGATTAATCCCGCGGGATCCCGTCCATACAAAATTTTGAAAGAAAATCCCGTTACCGGATCCCGGGAATGCGATTTTACCGACTTCTAGTAAGTAGTTTACTGGTTTTGTTGAAAAAAGAGGAAGAAATGTTCCGTTATTTTTTGAGATTAGTCAATAGGTAAAAGAGTCTCCTTAGAGAACCCCCCAGAGATTCGACCTAGTCTAATTTAGTCCGTGTTTCAGAATAAATAAAATATGAATTGATATTCGGATTCGGCAAACTCGATTGCTTATTGAAATCTAAAAATATCGCAACAGCACTTTTTCATATTTTTACAAAGATCAGTAAACTAAAATTTATTACCAAAAACATCCTTAAATTAATTTTTCCTATTTTTTTCAGAAAAAATTTCCTTCATTTAAACGTCCTTTTCTTCGAATGACTTATGCTGATGCAATTGAATGGCTGCGCAAAAATAATGTGAATAACAAAGAAGGGAAGCCTTTTAATTTTGGAGAATTCATTCCACAGGGTTCTGGACGGCAAATGCTTGATACAATTGGACAGGTTTTCTAATTTTTTTTTAATTTAAAAAAAAAAAATTTTTTTTAAAGCCAATCTTGTTGAATCGTTTCCCAGCTGGCACCAAAGCTTCTCGTTGTGAAGATGAAGACATGAACACTTCTCGTTGTGAAGATGAAGAAGGAAAGAAGAAGAATTTGACAGAATCTGTAAATTTCTTACTGCCTGGAATTGGAAAAGTTGTTGGTGGTTCAATGAGGATTTGGAAGGAAAAGGAAATTTTGGAAGCTTTTAAAATAACCAAAGTTGACCCTAAACATTATTATTGGTATATAGACCAAAGGAAGTATGGAGGATGTCCACATTTGAATTGGAACGGTTTGTTTGTTGGTTAGCTAATCAAGACCATATAAGGGATGTTTGTTTATATCCTCGATTTATTGGACGATGTGCCCCATAAAGAATTTTAATTTATTAAATTATTTATAGTCGTTATTGTGAGAGCTTATTTTTTAAATTATTTTTTAAATTATTTTGTCCCAAAATGACCATTTATGTGTGATTGTTTAAAAATTTTTTTAAATTGCTGGTAAAATGTCGTTATAAAAAAATTTTTTTTAAGATTTGACATTCAAAATTTTAGGATACTTAAGGAAGTCATGGTTTATCCAGGCTATTTTCCCGACTCGAAATCCGTTCCCAGAAATTCTTCCAAAACTCGACTGACTTTCTCCAATTGGCGACCCACAACTTTTTTAAGCCCCAAAACCCGCCTAGAAAATTTTGAAAATCAGACTTAATGACATCCCTGATACCTATAAAAATATTTTTAACAATAAGATAAGGTCTATTGACAAGAATTTATTTAAAAAGTGGCTAAATATAAAAAATAGCACAATCATCTTGAGATAATTACCCGAAAATAATCAAGCTTTTCTATATCAAGATAGCAAGGTCTGGTAAAAGTCGGGTTCGTGTTTTAGACACTATAGTTTATGCCCTGCCCTTTCGAATGGTATATAAATATTCCCAGTCGCTCGTCTCTACATCGAGATATTACACATTTGAGCATAGAAAATCTTCTAACTTTAAAAAAACATTTATTCCCATGTTTGGAATTTTCTATTAATAAGAGAAAAGAATTTTTGATTGTAAGGCCTAAAATGTTCTATTAATGAGCGTCGAAATTTTGATGAAATTTTGATGTGTTTTCTGCCCTTGCTTTTGCCTAGACAGTGAACTGTTGAATTTAAATTTTGACGGAAACAATAAAAATTTTTTTCTTTTTTAAAAATTAATTGAGTTGAATTGATGGAAGGCTCCAAACCGAGAAATCTTTCGGCTATTTTTAACTAAAAATTTTAAAAAAATTTTTAGTTGTAGAAACTTAACATGCCTGACTTAAAGGGTCTTCAATAAATTTGTCTCCGTCTAGAATTAAAAATTGTTTTAATGGAAAATATTTTAGCCATCTGTTTAAATGTTCGGCATATAGTGAATTACGAATGGGTTTAAACCTGTTTTTAAAAAAATAATGTTTTAATTAAAGTTTATTTAAAAAAGTTTATTTAAAACAAGTTTGTAATAAAACATGTTTATTAAATAAACTTGTTTGTGAATAAGTTTGTTTTTCAAGTTCATTAAAACATGCTTATTAAAACAAGTTTATTAAATATGTAATAGAACATGTTTATTAAAGCAACAAGTTTTTCTAAACAAGTTTATTTAAAAATGTTCAAAACATGTTCTTAAACATGTTTATTTAAAACATGTTTATTTGTTTTTAATTAAAAATTAGTTCACCGTTTATTTAACTGTATCGAACCATTACAATTTTTAATAAAAGACATTTTTTCAAAATTAATTGGAGGTTTATTCCTTTCCTTTTTTGTTTGCAAAATTTGTGTAAAATCACTAACTATTATTTAAAATTAATTTAAATAAATTAAATTGAAATTTTTTTTAATTTACCAGTTCTAGTAACAGGAGAACGCACTATGAGAATAAATTTAATTTTTGGGTTAAATTGAAATACTCGTTGGGGAACTTGTGGATTTGCAGTAAAATAGGCTGGAGTCTTCTCTATTATTATCTAAAATTAAAAATAATTTTCTTGAAAATTAAAAAATTTTTTTTAAATTTTCCTCACGTCATCTGGACATGCCTTTGGCATTTGTTTACTATACCAATCCAACCCGCGACGAAAATTTCGTTCCTTATCAAAAAAGTGGACCTCATGTCTTTATTAATTAATTAAAAATTTAATAAATATTTTTTAAAAATTTAATTACCGGGCAATTTTAACTTTGGGGTGTAAAGCTAGGGCGTCTAATAAAGCTCGAGTTCCCCCCTTTCTAACACCAATAATTAAAAAATTTGGTAAATTACTAAAAATTAAATAAAAAATTAATTGATAAAAATAATTTAAATTGCCTATAATTTTGATTGTTTTTAATTTCAATATTTTTCAATATTGTTGACTGGGAAGTATTAAAAGTTGTGTTGTTGTGAAAGAATAATTGACAAACTGCTAATAGAGAAACAAAACAAATTGAAACAAACAGGCGGCGAAAGGAAATTAAAACATTGTTTTTATTAAAACATGTCAACAAATGTTGGCAAGTGTTTTTGCCCATTGTTGTTAAAGTTTGGAATGGCCATCAAGTTGGGAAAATTGCTAAAACATTAAATAAAACATTATGTTTGGGGAAACAAAAACAAGTTTAATATTAAAAAAGTTTGTTTATTTAAAAAAGTTTTTAAAAACAAGTTTAATAAAAACAAGTTTGTTAAAAAACAAGTTTTAATCAAAACATCTAAAGTTTTGTCTAAACAAGTTTGTCTAAACAAGTTTATTATAAACAAGTTTATTTATTTATAAACGTTTTGTTTAGTATTTTACAAAAACAAGTTTATTAAATTATTAACTCAACAAAACATGTTTATAATTAATAAAACATAAAATATTTTTTTGTTCAACGGTCAAAAATTACTATATATTTTTAGTCTATAAAATTATGAATAAAAAATATAATTTAATATTTTGCAATAAAATTTAAGGAAAATTTGTTGAAAATGACTTTTATTCTTTTTTTAATGCTTTGCATAAAAATATTCATTTTTTGTTGTTTGGCACAGAGCCCCCATAAAGGTAGGGGGAGAGGGGAGGTTTTTGGCTTAGTTGACAAGCAAAACCACTTTTTAGAGAGAAAAGGCTTCCCTTTTCTTCGTTAATATTTAATAGATGATCTCTAGCCAATATAGTTAATAATAAGGCAAAATCCAAATTATTATTATTGTCGGTCAAGAAAAGAAAAGAATGTAGTTGCAACATATGTTTGGCTTTATACCTTATAATTATATGGGGTATTTTTAATTATTTTTGTTTTGCCAGCTATGAGATTGAAAATAAAAATAATTAGGTAGCACATAGAAAATAAATTTTAAAAATAAATTATAATTTAGTAACTAAAATAAAATAGAAATATTTTTACTAATTTTAAAGTGAATGATGTAAAATATAAATAATTTTGTTTGTGATCAATCTTATTAGTTCAGAAAAAAGTAAGATTAAAAGTTTCTAGGAGAAATAAACAGCTGTTGCCATATACCACAAAACAACAAGAAATAATTATTTGTTTGTTTATAATAAGAAAAACATATTTAAAATGTTTAGGTTTTAATTTTAGTTGTTTATGTTAAAAACAAGTTTATTAAACTTGTTTTTATTAAACTTGTTTTTATTAAATAGGGGGTGGGGGGAAAGGAAAAAATTTGGGGAGGGCATTGGATTTTTTGGCCTATGGCTTTCGAAATTTTAAAAAACGGAAGAGCGCTAAAAACGGAAAAAATTTGGCTGTTTGGCCTTCCAAAATTCTCAAAATTTTCCCGTTGCCCCCCCCCCCCTCCTCGAAAAAAGTCTTGGTTACGGGCTTGATATCCTTATTCTTTTTTTCTAGGATTTTATTTAAAACAAACATTTCTTCTTCCACATTCAATTTTTTCATTGATTCTTTTTTATTTTGTATTTTTTCAACAATATCAGTTAAATACTCCATATTTATTTCGGAACTTATATGGTTTGGGTACTCTTTTTTTAGCCACGCCCTTTTTTCCTTTTCGATCATTATTCTTTTACTCTTTTTCCCTCTCAACCATCAATCAATTGAGTTGAGGTCAATTTTTTGTTTAAAATAAAGAGAGAAATAGAGCTGACTCGGATGACTCATAGAGCTGGGCTGAGACGTATGGCACTAAACTCGGTCCGTGAGATCTCTGAGCTGAATTACTGGGGTCCAAAAATTTCTAAAAAGAGGTAAAACGGTCGGCATTTTGTAAAAAATATGATTTTAAACATGCAAAAACTGGAAAACACAATAAAATACGGGACCATTAGTTCCAAAACGTAGAACCGGGATACCTATTGGCATTTAAATAATTGAAATAGATAAAAATAAGAATATTGATTCAAATGTTAATTCAATTTTGGTGAAATTGGAAAGGAAAATTAATCTTTTCATTGTTAATGTCTCTCACTGAAAATGCCACAGGAAAAGTTAAGTAAAATCGAGGAAGAAAGAAAGGCTGACCATTCTGTCCATATTAAGGTTGATTGATGAAGGAAAAGGAAAAAAGGGCGTGGCTAAAAAAGAGTACCCAAACCATATAAGTTCCTTTATTTCATAGTTTAGTCTGGCATTCGAATCATGGTCTTTGTAAAGTAACCTAAATTTTTTAAGTTATTTTACATTTATTAAAAAAAAAGTACCTTAGCATTTCTGACAACTTTTTCCTCTTCAGTTTCATCTTCATTTGCTTTTTTAGGAGACATTAACATTTTTAGATTTGGTGTTTCCTAATTCAAAAAATTATTTTTAGGACTATTTAAATCTATTTAAAAAGGGACCTTTGCACATCTGACAATTTTCTCTTCTTCGTCTTCATAAACATTTATAATTTTTTCAGGAGATGCCAGCATTTTCAAAGGTGGCATTTCGTATTTAAAAAATTATTTTTAGGTATCCTAGATTGCTGTGACCAACCAAACCGAAAAAATTTTATACTAGTGGGGATTTCCTGAATTGAATTTTTTGGCCTTTTTACTCTTTATTTCGAAATTTAAACGTTTAAATCCCAGACTCTTTTTATTGTAAAAACCGTTTAAAAAGGAGAAGAGAAAAGGTAATATTAGAGTAATTGGTTGTGTCCATTAAATAGAAAACAAAGGAAATACAAAAATATATTTTGAGAGGTGGTCACAGCAGTTAATCCATTGTTATTTTTTCATTATTTCATATTTTTCTTACATTTTTAGCAATACAAAAAAACGAAAACCCAGAAAAGAGGAGCTAAAAGGAGAAGTTAAAAATTCTTTTGGAAAAAATAAGAGAAAGACAAGTCGCGGGGAGGGCGGACTTGTAAGTAAATCTTTTTTGTGTGTGATGGAAATGTTTACATTTTAAAAAAATTTTTCTACCTTTGAAAATCAATAGCAGCGGTTAATTTTTGACAAAATAATCTTCTATACGAAGAAATTTCCTGTTGCGAAAAATTTAATGGTTTATTGGCCATCCCAAATCTGGCGTAGAGAAGGGAATAGACGCCGCAATCAATTCCTCCTTTCTGCCTCGGGACATCAAATTTTTCGAGCCTTGTCCAGGAGTCCCGCGGGCCAATATCGACTTTACATTGTAAAGCTGCTACCAGCATTATGTCCCTTAATTTTTATCCATAATAATTTATATTTTTAATTTTGTTTTTTCATTAATCTTAATATTTTTTTCTTATTATTTTACTCAAAATAATCTATCCCTTAATTTTCCATCCAAAAATAATTTATTTTTTTAATTTTTCCTAATCTCAATTTTTTCTTATCATTTTCTTAAAATAATCTTTCGGTAAAAAACCTCCACCTCCTCTACTTTCCACAAAATAGTAAACTTGGTCCAACTGTTATTTTTTGTTCAAACAGATATGTACTCGGATAAATTTTTAAGTTTTTAAAAGTGTATTTTGAGGAAAGAAGAGGAGGGGGGGGAGAGATATTCTAGGAATTAATTTTACAAAAAATTTTCCATAAATTGTCTTTTCTTATCAGTTGTGTGCCCGTTGTTTAGGGAGTCCATTAATATAATTTTTCTAACTTTAATTTCGGCAATGGCCATACACCAATGGTCGTTGTTGACATGGCAAGGAGCGAGGACTTTCTCCACACCTCCAAATTGCCAATACCATTTTCCGGTGACATTTTTATTACTCGTTGTATAGTGTAGAAAGCAGTATGTAGGTATATACTGCACTATGTGGTTTGGCCAATGATGCTTTTCTCGAGGAGTATTATGGGTCGGGGTTTCGAAGCATAAGTGTTGTAGATATGCATCGATTACAGATCCCTCCAACCACTCTCCATCTCGAAGGGTTAGTAGCACATCCCATGGTAAATGGCCCCTCTTCCCCTAAAAATTCAACTTTATAAATATACCCCCAAAATTTCTATTGCGAAGTGAGTTAAGCACTAAATTCCTTCAAATGGCACACAACTGTATTTTGTAGGTTAAAAATTGTCAGTTAATCTTTTTTTTTGACGTGTTGATATTTTAATCATTTCTAGTCTCGTCGAGATTTTTTTCTGCGATATTTTATCTTCCTATCTTTTAACCCCTTTTTGGCCGCTACGATATTTTAACCCCTTTTAGCCTTGCGACATTTTAACAAGCGATATTTTGTACGGGCACGCCTTTTTTCTCCCTTTAATCTAAAAATAAGAGACTGTTTCTGCCCTACAGAGAAAATTTTTAAATTTTGGCTCCTTTCTTGTTTTTTGAAAATAATTTTTTTAAATTTATTTTTTAGTTGTGGAGACACGGTGATCGTTGACCCACAAAAACCTTCAAAACGGATAAATATCAAGAAAAGGATTGGCCTCAAGGATGGGGGCAATTAACACCTGTAAGCTTCCTTTAAATTTTAAAAATTTCAAAAAAAATTTTTTTAAAGACAGGAATGGCTCAACATGTAGAATTGGGAAGAAGACTCAGACAGCGATATATTGAGGAATTGAAATTTGTTGGTCCTCGATATAATAGTCATGAAATTTATGTTAGAAGTACTGACTGGAATAGAACATTAACTAGTGCTATATCGATTAGTTTAAAATTAAAAAAAATTTTTTAGGAAGATTTTTCTTCTTTTTAATATTCACTCCTTTTTTTTACTCCATTAATATCCCCTTCCCTTTTCTACATTTTTTCTTTTTTTCTCGATATTTCGCCATTTTCGCCATTTTTATTTTGCCATATTTTTTCGAAAAAAACAAGTGCCATTATTTTCTAGCGAGTTTATTTTGCCATTATTTTCCACGTGTTTTTTTGAAATCAAAATAGGGGGGGGGGGTGACATATCCATAAAATACCCAACTCACTTCGCAATAGAAAGTTTTATTTTTTACCCCACCTTTATCCAATCGTCATTATCCGAATATTTTTCCTTGTTTTTTATAAAATTGTCCCAAAATTCTTTATCATTTTCTAAATTTTCTAAACAAGGTTTTTTTACAATTATTTCTTCTTCTAGTCTTTCCAACAAGTGTTTTCGGCCCTATTTATTTTTAAATTTATATATTTATATTTTATATACATACTTTTTCTCGCAACTTTGTTTTTCTCGCAACGCGTTTTTTCTTTTTCTGTAAAAATTTTTTTAAATTTTTTTGGCAATTTTTTTGGTAAACCAAGGCTTAGTCCCCCTTTTTCTTCCCAAGTTTTTTTCCTTCCTTTTTTCCTTTCTGCTTTTATTTTTTAATTATTCTCCTTCCTATTTTTCCCTTCCAAAATGGCGCGTTTTTCTGCCTTAAGGAAAAAAGTCAGTCTCTTCCGTTTCTCCCGTCCTTACTTTTTTTGATTTGCATATTTCCAAAATTAAGTAAAGAAAAGTTAATAAAAAGTAAAATAATTGCAGGGGACACTAAGCCTTGATTTCCCGTTTTCTTATAAATACCGAAATTTCATCAATTTTATTTATTTTATCTTTCAAAAGATTTTCTATTGGGTCCACTTCAATCGCATTTTCTTTTACAAAAGTTTCATATTTCTCTTTAGTAAGCAATACATTGTCAAGGGAGAAAAGACATTCTCCCATTATCTTAATTAAGTCATTTACATATTATTCAGGCCCGTAGCCAGGCGGATAGGGGGTGGGGGGAAAGGTAAAAATTTGGGGAAGGTATTGAATTTTTTGGCCTACGTCTTTCGAAATTTGAAAAATTTTCGCCTGCAGCGCTGAAAAAGAAAGAAATTTGGCTTCTTAGTTCCCAAAATTAAAAAAATTCACCGTTGCCCCCCCCCCCCCCCCCGAAAAAAATCTTGGCTACGGACTTGATATCCTTATTATTTTTTCTAGGATTTTATTAAAAACAAACATTTCTTCTTTCATATTCAATTTTTTTCATTGATTCTTGTTTATTTTGTATTTTTTCAACAAAATCATTTAAATACTCCATATTTAATTCATAATTTAACCTGGCAGTCAAATCATGGTCTTTGTAAAATAACTTAAATTTTTAAAGTTACTTTACATTTATTAAAAGAAGGAAGGACCTTGGCATTTCTGATAATTTTTCCTCCTCAGTTTCGGTTTCATTTAATTTTTTTTCAGGAGATACTAACATTTTTAGATTTACTATTTTTTCAGGAGACATTAACATTTTTAGATTTCGTGTTTCCTAATTCAAAAAATTATTTTTAAGGATCCTAGATTGCTGTGACCAACCAAATCGAAAAAATTTTATACTAGTGGGTTCCTGAATTAATTTTTTTGGCTTTTTACATTTAATTTCGAAATTTAAAGGTATTAAACCCCAGACTCTTTTTATTGTAAAAACCTTTTAAAAAGTAGAGAGAAGAGAAAAGGGGGAATATAGAGTAATTGTGTGTGCCCATTAAAAAAACAAAGAAAATACAAAGAGATAATTTTGAGAGGGTGGTCACAGCAGTTAATCCATTGTTATTTTTTTCATTATTTTATATTTTTCTTACATGTTTATTTTTAAGTTTCCACCCAGAAACTTAAAAATTTCCTTTCATGCAAAAAACCATTGTCGAAAGACAATGTAAAGCATTTAAATTGTTCTGTTGGTTGTTTAACCATTTTTTTATAAGGCGTATTTATTATAATAATTTCTTCCATATTTTCCTTAATATATAATTTTTTAAATATTTTTAAATATTTTTTAATTCCAAGTTATTTTCTAGTCCCTTATTTCTAATTCCAAAAGACCTTATATATTTAAGCTAATACTTTGGCTGGCCAAATTTTTTCTACATATTGTGCCGTTATAAGCGATTAAACCATATTCTCATAACTTTGTTAGTTTAAGTTAGATTTCGTTGATTTTGGTGTTATTTGACTCAGCTCGAAGAGCACTTTCGAAAGATATGTATATTTTGTGATAAATAAAAAAATTGAAAAAAAAGCAAAGAGAAAAAAGGGGGTGTCAGCCAAAGTATTTGAAATATTCTTAATATTTTATACAAAAATTTTACTTTTAAACTCTCATTAATTTTAACATTATCCGCTTCCACAATAGCTAATTCATTATCAATATTATCTAAACCATTATTCATAATTTCATCATTTATAAGTTCGGAGTATTACCTAAATTACTACTATATTACCCTAAAAAACTAAATGACTACTTATGACACGTTCTGGTTCTTTTGACTTTAAATTTTTCATTTTAATTCACCACTCGTTAAATAATGAATTATTATCGGCTTCTTCTGGGTCAGAGTCTGATGATTCGATTGAAGAATCATCATCATCACAAATAATATTTAGCATAACTTTTAGAACTTGTTTGATAACGTGGCCACCAAAACCATGGGTTAACTTTAAGATTAAGTAATAGTTTGGTTTACCCCTTCCCTCTTTTTCATATTTCCATTATAATTTTGTGCTTTTCTTATATGTAATATATTTTAAATCATTCGAAAAAGCTCTTTAAGCTGGGGAAGTTGACCCGCACACGGGGGAATTGTTCCAATAACGGGAGAAGTTGACCCGCACACGGGGGGAGTTGTTGAGTTGTTCCAATAACGGGGGAAGTTGACCCGCACACGGGGGGAGTTGTTCCAATAACCCCCGAGCAATATATTAAAACTGGTCATCATTTTGTTCATCTAACAAGGGAACATTTCGAACTGTGACCAAAAATTTTTAAATAAAAATTATACCATCGTGTAGAGCGTAGTCGAAAACGTATTGTGGTGCCCGGCTTTTCTTCCCCTGACCCCCATTTCGAAAAGTTATAGGGCTTCAAAGTTTTAGACTTTTAGAGCGGTTGAGTCACCCTCATAAAGAGAGATTTTGAATTTATTGAGGAGAAAAATAAGACTCCCATCCTCCTTTTCTCCTTTCCTTTTCTTTTCAATATTAGTTAAAGAAAGAGAAAAGGAGGAGAGAAAAGAAAAGGAAAGGAGGCATGTCTGCCATCTCCTCTTTCCTTTTTAATTGATATTAGCCGCAAGGCAGAGATGCTCTTTTCCTTTCCTTTTCTCTTCTATTTTTTTCTTTCTTTAACCAACATGGGAAAAGAAAAGGAAAGGAAAAATGGAGAAAAGGAGTCTTATTTTTCCCTTTAGGAAGAGAAATAATAAGAAAAGTGGGGGTGACTCAACCGCTCTAAAAGTCTAAAACTTTGAAGCCCTATAACTTTTCGAAATGGGGGTCAGGGGAAGAAAAGCCGGGCACCACAATACGTTTTCGACTACGCTCTACACGATGGTATAATTTTTATTTAAAAATTTTTGGTCACAGTTCGAAATGTTCCCTTGTAAGTCAGATTTAGTTGATTTTGGTGTTATTTGACTCATCTTGAAGAGCTCTTTCGAAATATATCGGTAAAAATATATAAATAGAAAAAAAGAGGGGGTGGGTAAAAACCAAACTATTAACAAAATTTAAAAATTATTTTTAGAATCTTTAATTTTAAATAAAATTTTTCTGACCATAGAGAATTTTGTCAGTTTTCTCTGTTGACCAGGTGTTAGGCCTATTTCATTTGTTGCAAAATTTTTGGCAAGCGGTGAAGTGTCCGCGTCATGGAAAGTTATCATATTATTCAAAAAGTCTCTTAATTTCAGTTATTATATAGGTACTATCACATTATTCGCCATTATTTTATTTATTTTCTCCTTTATTTTTCATTTTCCAAAATGTACACGAAAACAAAGCCGGACCGAGAATAATTTCTGCTGCCCCCTCACCCCCTCCTCCAGTTTTACTCGGCCAGCGTAGGCTTTAACATGCAGATTGGGACTATAGCCAGCTGTTAAGAAACGTTTTTTGAGGGAAATAAAATAAAATAGTGGCGAATAATGCGATAATAGCACTAAATCAAAACCTTATACTATCTATTTTCTCTTCAAAATCATCAATTTCTTAAATTTTATTAATTTTAATGTTATTTTTATTTTTATCTACCTCCAAACAAAAAAGTTTTAGCCTCCCTGAACGGGTAATTTTCACGGCTTATTATTTTGAAGTCATTCACTAACTAAAAAATATATTTATTACATTAGAAGGTTTAAATTTTGCCTGGAATATTTCACTCTCAGTTAGGTAACTAAATGAGGTGATTTTCGTTTTGTTTTTCCTCCTATATTGCATGATGATGTTGTTATTCTTAAAGTTTCTAAAGTGCATTGTTGCATTAAATAGTCCATTATCCCAGCTATAATTTGGATCAAGAATTTCGTTAACTTCGACAGAAATAAAGGCATTCCTTCAAGAAGAATTTTTTTGAAATTAAAAAATTTTTTAAATACTTTTCCGTTATCTCTACAGGGGCATTTTTGACAGGAATATTCACTCAGGAAAATATTGACAAAATTAATAGAACACCTTTCGAAAAAGCATGGCGATCTAAATCAAATGACAAGAAAATCATGAGGAGAGACAATGAAAAAGTACCGATTGTTTGGACAAAAAATAGAAAAACAAAAAAATCAAACAAACTTTAGCAATGTTTGTGGATAACATTGAGCAATTCCTTTTTCAAAGTCGAACATATCCTTTATTTAATGGATTAGCAAATGTTTCATTAAATAAAAGATTTTGATTATTTTTCCATATAATCCAGAGGTATTTGCCAAGATTCATTTGGACGACATTTTTCTTCTATTGAAGGTCTTTTTTGTCCATTAGGGCATACAAGAAGTGTTTCAGCAATACAAATCTTGAAAATAATAACAATAAAGTCCCATTCTAAAAATGGGTCCAATTCAAAATCCGAGAAAACAAGATTCTAGAGGTCGATCACCATGAGGTAAATCGATCTAAAAGAATTCCTTAAAAATTAATTTATGGGGTCTAACAAAAAGGTTAATTATCAGGAATTCAACATAGGTTAATCTCAGGAGCTCAGACTCTGTTGCTGGTAGTAACAATGCTAACTATCCGAAGCTAGAGATATTTTCAGGCATTTGAGTCTGAGTTTTGTGCAGCAAGCATTTCAACTATGAAGAAAACTCATACTCAAATGCCTGGAAATATCTCTAGCTGCGGATAGTTAGCATTGTTACTACCAGCATGTAAGTCAACTCCATTTATTTGTTGTACTTTTTGGTTAATCTCAAATATAATCCCGTAAAAATCAGAAATTTAGTATACCTCTCCCAATTCTTTTTTACAAATAGCAGCAGAAGAGTCATCTTCATTTCCACCACAATAATCTTCAATAGGTGTTTAATACAAGGATTAAGTAATTCAAAATCTGGAGCGACGTTTAATTGCCGATTATTGCCATTTGCACTAAAAAAATAAAAAAAATTTTAATTAAAATTTTAAATAAAAAATACCCATTAGAATGTTGAATTGAAATAGAAAGTTGTTGCCATACTTCACAACTTGAAAAAAAAATTAAAAATTCTTCAAATAAAATAAACCGATTTAAAGGCTATTGTTGGTGATTTTTATTTGAAGAGATAGTAAAATTTACAAGTATAGCATCACACCGAGAACTAAATATTAATCGCTTTTAGATGTCAGGACTTGGTTGGTTATTTAGAAAAAAGAATAAATAATATCAAAAACCCTGAAAAATCACATGCACATTCACAGCGATATCCCTGTCCCTATTCATAAACCGACTGCCTATCTTAGTGAACTGTT